TGGGCTGTAGACAGTGCCTCCAACAAAAACCCAAAGGGTCACCTGAGTTGCAGAGTCTGCCACTATCTAGTGCTTCTTTTATGACCCTCATATTTTAGAAGCTCCTTAGATCAGGTGGCTTTTTATTTCTTGGGTCTAACCCTGGCAGGCATAATTCAGACTCAACATTCTTTTCTGTTAAGTTAGTTTTCTCCCATGGGCTTTTATTTTCTATTTAAACTTTCACAAAAATAAGCATTTATAAGAATATAAAAGTTACACATGTTTTCAAAAAATATTAGAAAATACAAAAAAGTAGAAGAAATTACTCATGGTCTTGCTACCCAAATACAACCACTGCTGGCATTCTGTTTTATTTCCTTCTGGTCTTTTTCCATTCATTTTTTTCTCCATGCATGTTCCCACCCCCACCAAAATATGATTGCTGGCACACTGTCCCCACAACCCCTTCTCTGTATTTCAGATAGTGTTGCCTCTTAAATCTTAAGAAGAAACTTTTTACCAGATATTTAGGAACCATAAAAACCAAATGTAATGTGTTTAACTTGTTTTAATAGAATTCAGACAAATTAACTGGAGAAACAGAGAACTGTATTATGGACTGGGTTTTGGAAGACAGCAAAGCACTGGTATCCATTATTAGGTATATTAATGGAATTATGGTTATATAAAAAAAAATCTAAAATTTTTAAAGTTGCAGATTGAAATACATATTAGTGAAATGACCTGAGGTTTGTTTTAAAATAAATAAGCAATTAAAAAATCTCGATAGTACCTGGATCTGGGAGGTGATACTTTTATGGGACACCATTTTTACTTAAAAGACCAACAGACACAAAAACTATACTTATTTAGACACCAATATTTGGCACTTCAAGAGAAATGACTTTTGTTGCCAATGACAATATTCAAGCTTTCATAAAAATTAAAATTTTGGGAACCCTCTATCTTACATATGAGCCTGATGGTTTTCTAATACATAAAGATTTCTCTGATAATATGATAATGCAATGACATTAACAAATGTGATTTTTTCACATTATTATAACAAAATGTATCCAAATGCAGAAGATCAGCACAATAAGATAATATTTTCTAAATGACATTTTCTAATGTTAAGAGATCATACATGGACAAAAAGAGTCATTTAAAGTTAAAGATGAACCAATGGATTTTTACGTAACCTATATTAAGAAAAGTCAACTGATATTAGTCTGCTAGGGCTACCATAACAAATACCACAGTTTGGGTGGCTTAAACAACAGAAATTTATTTCTCATAGTTGTGAGGCTAGAAATTGAGCCAAATGCAAGCTAAGTTGTTCTCCATGAAGGCTCTCTTCTTGGTTTGTAGAACCACCTTCTTGCTGTGTCCTCACGTGGTGGCTGGAGATGGAACAGAGTGCAAGCACTCTTGTACTAAGGACACTAATCTTACTGGATCAGGGCCCCATCCTTATAACTTCATTTAACCTTCACTACCTTCATAAAGGCCCCATGCCAAATACAGTCATATTGGGCAGGCTAGGGCTTCAATACATAAATTTTGGGAAGACAAAAATTCAGTTCACAGAAGGTATAATTTCAGACTCTGAAAGATGGCAATTAACTTTTGAGAAATAATTTATTAAATTTTGCTGTAGCACAAAGATTACTACCCACAATTATCTGAAAAAGTTATTACATGTGCTCCTTTCCTTCCCAACTAAGTATCTATCTGAAGTTGGGACTTTCTTCTTATACTTCAACCCAAAAAACTCATTCTAATAGACTGAATGCAGAATCACATGTATCAACCTGGTTAATGTCTTCTTCTTCTTCTTTTTTTTTCTTTGCAGTTTTTGGCTGGGGCTGGGTTTGAACCCACCACCTCTGGCATATGGGTCTGGCGCCTTACTCCTTTGAGCCACAGGTGCCACCCCAGTTTATGTCTTCTTTACTTGCTACAGAGACTGTGGGGCCTATAAAGCCAGAAATATTTATTATCTCGTTTTTTGCAAGAAAAGTTTGGCAACTCCTGATCTAGGTGATTCCTTTACTTCTTTCCGGCATGGGAATATTTATTTCCTGGGACCCACGTCTTCCTCTTTCTTGATTTGCTCTCCTTCATTTGGGTGAAACATTCTCTGGCAGTTTCCTGAGAAAGGCTGTATGAAAGCCGCATTTTTATTTTTTTTTGAGACCCTCTGCAATACCCTCATATTTTATTGACAGCTTAACTGGGTACAGAATTTTTAGCATGGTCTTTCAGAAACTAGAAGCTTTGTTTTACGTCATCTAGCTTCTAGAGCTGGAGTTCAAAAGTCTGAAGTTATTCTGATTTCTGATCTATTGTACATGACTTATTTCTCCCCTCCTAGAAACGTATAGAATCTTTTCTTTGCCCCTAGTATTCCGAAATTTTATGATGATGTGTCTTCAACATGACGTGTCTCTACCACTGTGCTAGGCAGTAAACTCCTTCAATCTGGAAAGTCCTACCCTCTAGTAATAGGGCATGACTATTTCCAGAATTAGTTTGTTGACTGATTTCTTCCCCTTTGTTTTCTTGGTCACTCTTTCTACAATTCTCATTGAACAGATATTGGATATCCTGCATTGCACTGCTCTTCTAATTTTCTTATCTTTTCTCTTTCTGGGACAACTCCTCAACTTTACCTTCCAACAGGATCTTTATT